GGCTTCTGGTTTTAGCTTTTAAAAGACACTTTTCTTTCATTATTTCCAAGAAGAAGGAAAATTATGTGTCCTTAGGGCTGTTTGTGTTTCGCTTGCTTAGATATCTGACTTAACTAAATTAAAACGCAACTGATTCCTAACAATAAATGTTTTAAGTAGTGTTGAGAAATTTCTTGTCTCTGAGCCAGGTTAGACATTTCATGACGCAATTCAGATCAGTTTTATCCTCTCATGTACTCTGAGTTTACGGATAGTGGTAACAGCAATTTCAAAACTATTTTTTCAAGAAATACTGTTCAACTTACAGTAGACTCAATTACTAACCAGCAAACCACACTTCCCAAGCTTGAGAGCTTGTATATGTGTTCTACATATACATTGATGTGGCAGGGAAGTCTAGAGGCCATGACTTGCAACTCAAATGTTTACTGCTTTCTGATGTTTCTTTCTTTCTCCATCTTGGTGAAATTCAGCAGTGGTCCTTGTTCTGTTTATGGAGACTAGACTTTCACAAGACAGTAGTTTACCATCAGCACCTTTCTTGGCAGACACCAAGAATCCTTAGATTTAATTTAGTCCAATAGATCTGTCTATATTCTGCCCTCCTACCATGAGCCACTGGCTCTATTTAGGTACTTATGTGTCACTAACAGTTAATATCTCACAACTTTAAAGAAATTAATGGATGAGCGTGTGCGCTGTCACACTCCAACTTAAATATCTCACTTAAGGAAAAAAGTAGACAAAGTCGGGAGAGGGGAAGCACTGAGCAGCTGAGACCATGGGCAGGGGAAGCAAATTCACAGAAGAGAGAAAATAAACAGGCAAATGACTATAGAAAACTGTGTTCTCAGACCTGGATATGGTGCTTGATTCCTGGATTGGTTATTTCTATTTCATAGAAAAATCTATGGATTTTTCTTCCCCAGTGCATTCACTATGTATGCTGGTTTTTCTTACTAGTGAACTACATCAATATTAAATGCAGTCTGTTTGTAGTTTGGTCACGTAGAAGAACTCAGTAGAATTTTACAAAGTACCTTGTTTAGCTTTCTGCATTTCTACATAAGTGCATGTACAGACACAGATTTAATATTATATTTCTCTTACTCAAAATAATGTGAGCAAAATATTCTACTGCTGAAATGAAGGCTAATGAATGAAATTAGTAACTCTAATCTCCTTTATTTTAATTTCTGAAAAGTCAGGTTTTCCTTTAAAAAGAAATAAAAATACCTGAAACTGCCAATACTGTACCCAAATTGCCAAAAGCAATTTTGCCTATAATAAAGCTATTGTGGGCTGGAACATTTTGATCAAGCACTGTAGATGGGTATGTTTTGCATTCAGTGTATGTGCTGTTCTTGTCGAATTTTCTGTATGGGGAAGAAAATACAGTTGACAAAATTTCATTGACCTGCAATAAGACTTTCTCAAGTTAATTTATCAATTAGCTTTAAATGATAAACTGATACACATCATTGATCTTTAAAAGGCAGCTAAGTTTTTCTATTAGTGAGAAACATGCATAGCCAGGGATTTTCAGGATGAGGCAGATGCAGTCATTTTAAATACAGTTGACTCACTATAATAACTGACTTTTTAAATTTAAGTTTGCAAGTGAGTGATTTGGAAGACCAGCATTGTTTCTGCAGCCAACCACCATAGAAAGAATAATGAAGATTAAGATGCTTTCCCCTTAGTTGTCTCGTGTTTCTGCATCTAGTTCTGTCAGAATCTTTTCTGAACTTTTTGGGCTGCAGACTAGTGTGTAATATAGATTCTTCACAACATTTGCACAGTGGTTGTGAGACTGGCTGCTTGCTGGAACAGAAACCTAGGTTACAGGCATGCTAGATTTACCCAGGAAAGCGGGATAAATGAGATGACACAGAGTTCTCTGGTTCTGCATCAGGTATTTACAATAACATTCTTAACTGTCTGTCAGAGCCACTCAGGTGTCTTTACTTTACAATTCAGCTTGCTATGTTTGTATTATTTCAGCTGTAAGACTCCATCTGAGATCCTGACATCCCTGACCTCAAAGTAATATTTTCTATTAAGAGGATTTTGTCCTCAATGAGGAAAGTACTAATACAAACTATGTTTGAGATTGGCCAATGCCATTTAACAAGATACATTGTTTTCTTCTGCAGTCCTTGTACTCTTGTGTGGCATCAGGGGATTCCTACGTTGCTTTGTGTTTAAGCATATAGAGAATTTTCTCGTAAATACACTGCTTACAAGCACATTTACTATTTTTATATGCAAAAGCCTTTTCTCAACCAGGAAGCAGCCCAAGTGCTGTGCTCTCTACATTAACGCTGGGCATCTGTCCTCCCTCATCCACACCTCCAGCTGCCATGGAAAACTGTGCTATTTTGCAGAGATACAACATGATGCAATGGGTGCATACACTGTACCTGAACGCTAGGTCTTGCTGTTTTGTTGTTTCTTGTACTCTCTATGACAAAGCAAAAAAACCCTTCTCTGTTAGAGATTGGCTTCAGGAAAGAAAAGCCTTTTTTCCATGCAGGGTAACTAGTTTCTACAAGGCCAGGGCTAAGACAATGCATTGCTCCCATAGTGTCTTATACCCAGGTTAGGCTTTTTCATAGCCTTTTCATAGTTCCCCTTAATCCACTTTGGATTGCATGCACTGCAAACAAAGGCTGCTTACAGGTAGTTCTGACCTGTTTTTTTTTTTACTTGGAGTAGCTTTGTAGAGGAAATAGACTGATACGTAGGAAAACGTACATTCAGTTTTACAACAGGAAGAGTTTACAAGTCTCTAACCATGATATCAAATCCCTAACCAAGATAACAGATGTATTTGCCTGTATAAATGTGAGCAGTCAAGTTGGATTTGATATTTATATACACTGAGGCACCTTTACATGAATGGGACACTATAGGGGGTTGTTAATGTGAAAGCAAATTAAAAATGTAGATGTTCTTAGGTCTTTTAGAGATCTGTGAGATAAGGGAGACTAAGTAGTTCAACTACTTAAATATTTTAAAAAAAATAGTTGAACTAACAAAGGAAGGAGGGCTAATATGTTCAAATAATAGTAAGTGGTGTATTTCTAAGCAGGCTTATTGACTCTCACAAAGATTTTTAGTCATGTAATTTAAGCAGTTTTGGTAAATCCATCCCTTGTCTCCCAAATGTAGTTAGAAATTGCTTCTGTTTAAGTGCCCAGTAGAATATAGAATAATAGAAATTACTTAAAGAGCAATTATTCACTGTAAAATGCATTATTCACTGCATATATAACACCATATCGAAAGAGAACATTACTTACTTAAGCTTTATTCAAAAATGGTCTATCTCTTGTCAAAGAAAGTAAACATGCATGGAACAGAACAATTCAGGACGTGACACCAGTGAGTACGTATGCATCTCTTTTTCTGCTGTGTTAGGACACCTTTCCCAGCCCAGTATCGATACAGAGGCATGGAGAAAGCAACATGATATTATCAGAATCTTGCTTCCTTTACTGTACCTAATAGTTTTATTCCTGGAGATTCCTTGACATGCTCAAAATAGCAAAGATTGCATATAAAAGCAGGGCAATAAACCAGCAGCAATTAAACAAATGCTGATAGAAAATGGAAAAACTCTGACATGAAAACTGTCCAATACGCTGAACAGCTACATCAAGCTACTAGTGTCTTTTTCCCTCTGTGCAGTCCTGAAGTCAGAGAGGCTTTGATGTTAGACAGTGTCATATAGTACCCAATTTATTAATAGACCTCATCCATCACAGTTAGCCTGCACTGGGTGGAAAAGAATCCAAGAAAAACATGGGAGATTTTCAGAGGCAGTTGCATATCTCTTAAAAGAAGACTGACTTATGGGATGTAGTCACCTGGAAGGATATAGTGGAGGTAATGGCCTGATGCAGTGTAATCCTCATATTTTCATGTCAAATGTGACTTTGTTATCCATCTCTTTTCATTACCAGCAGCCTTTATTCTGCCATAGAACTAAAAAACAGGCTAGGGAGGTTTCTATTTTGCAAGAATGTAATTTGTTAATTGCAGATTAGATTTATGGTTTGGACAGTCACTATATAGGTCAAATAACTCGGATTTGAGCACAGAAGTTTTGATTGATTAGTTCAGCACTTGGTCAGTCACCTACTCAAGTCAATCATAGTTCATAGTCAGGATTTTTCTCTTTCTTTCTCTTCTTGGTCAACAGTGCAAGGGACAATTTCTGTAATAATTTTCTTCTGAGAAATTTTTTCCTGGGTATCAGGGAGATCCTGTTTTCTAGATTTGTGAATACTTCAGTTGTTGCAGGTGAAATGTGCTATACATACAATTCTATTTGCTTCAGAAGTGTTTGTTGTACTGCTTACAAAAATAGCAGATTACAAGAGGAAGGTACACATTAAATGAAAAAGGAAAGTATGGTTTGAAGGTCCACTAACATCAGAATGTACTGGATCTCAATGAGTCATCTGGATGATAAGGTAATAGATGATCTTCTGAGGAGTCCTAATAAACAAACATAGGCTGAGAATCTGACATGGATTAAGAAAACTATAACACACGTGCATACACATTTACCACTTGTACCTTTCCCCCAACTATTTTTAATGAAAGAACAAAAATCCCATGTTGTAAACACATGCTGAAGTTCTGGTCGCAGTAATCCCATGTCTTAAAGGCTTGTATGTAACTAGAAATCTAACTAAATCAACTGACTAAATCCTTGTTGACTGTGCCTATTTATGACATCCTGGTTCATTAACTGTGCATACACAGTGCATTTATATAGTCAAATATACAGCAGAAGTGTTATAACATAGTAGCTCTACATTTTGAGGTTCACTTATACTTTGTAATTTTCTTGCTTGCTGTGACTTTTGGTGAGTTTTAACATTTGCCCAGCCAGTCTTTCTGTCTCTCTCTCTCTCTCTCTTTCTCTGTGAGGTTCACATATAAACTGATTTAAAGATTGCATAATGACTGTTTGGCATATCCTACAGGCAAAGGTCCAGAAACCCTTTTTGCTGGCTATAACCTCAATGATAATGAGTGGCACACAGTGCGTGTGGTTCGGCGAGGAAAAAGTTTAAAGTTAATGGTGGATGACCAGCAGGCCATGACAGGTAGTGTGGCATTGTGACTCCGTGTTACTGGGGGGAAACACAAAACAAAAAATGACAAAAGTAAAATGCCTTTATTTGAAAGCAACAGATGCTGTTTTCTTTTCTTGGGTAAGATCCAAAATTCATGTTATGCATCTTGAAATACTGGTACTACAAGTGCGTTATTACACTTGGTATTAATGTTGCTGTAACATTGCTATTGGAATTAATGAAAACCTTCATGCTGACTTAAATGGATGTTTTTATACAGTAATTGGAGAGAAGTCATTTGATACATCACTAATGAGAAGGCAAGTAAAATGCTTTTGGCAAAACGTTAAATTTATACTAAGGTTAAACTCTAAGCCATTGCTGTAAGAAAGAAATTCATAAGCATTTGAAGGATATTCTATTGTGTTTTAAATCTTGCATAAGCTGTCCTCAATAATTAAATGTTAGGCAACAGGTTTTTCTCAAATATTAAAATAGCAGTTGGGATGTGAGAAAAAACACGACATGAATGCTAGCAGATGTTAGAAATATATTCCTATGTATATATTATCAGAAATTATAATGAAGACTTCAATTTTGTTGTTAAAGATAAGGCTTACATAGGTGTTAATAGCAACAGACCTGGCTTCTGGCCCTGACTTCTTGTACAGTACATTATGCCTAATTTTGTGTTAGCTATTTAGTACTTTCCTTTGTTTTCATATAGTATTAAATAGCTTTTATTGTTGGTTCTATGCTTTGTTAAAATGGCAACAATTTTAATGAGTTTTTAAAAGGAAAGCACCTTCTTCAATAATCCCTTTTCACCTCAGCAGGACACTGAAGATCATGTCACTGGTAGAAAAATAATTACTATGTATTCATGTAGTTGCAAGAACATATTTTCTAGAATCAGAAATTATCAATAGATCTCCCAGCAGTGAAGCAAAAATTTAGTCTGTGTATATGATGGTGCTTTGGGTCATTCTCCCAAGAAAGTAGATGGACTAGACCAGTTATTTCTTTGTGAAAATAAATATATAGTATTGGAGGAACTATACTGAAAAATATCATAATATTGCTTATTCAACTGCAACTTGAATAATAAGGCTACATTGGGGACTTTTCCTAGTTAGAAGAAGCTTTTTAGGTCTGAATAAAATACAGTATCTAGAACCAAACGCACATTCCTTGGGCTCTTCCTGGCAGATTTCTTATTTACAAATACTACAGGTTACAAAACCACCAAGAAGTAGTGTTTTTACCTTTGGGTTCAGTCCCAGCTGCTCAGCACAGTTTCAGGAAGGTTCAAAATGTGTGTGAAGGATTAAGATGAAAACAGGAGGTTTCTATCATATATAGTCCAGTCAGGTGAAATAATAAGAGTACTTACTCTCCATTGCAGATAACTGTAGTTATTATCAAATACCATGGTCTCGGCAAATAGCTGAGACACTCGAACAGGCTTCCTAGAGAAGTGGTCAGTGCCCCAAGCCTGTCAGTCTTTCAGAAGCATTTGGACAATGCTGTTAATAACCTGCTTTAACTTTTGGTCAGTTGTGAAAAGGTCAGACAGTTGGACTAGGTGATCGTTGTAGGTCACTTCCAAGTGAACTATTCTATTCTAGCTGTTAAGGCCAGTGAGTGTTTTCAACTGGCTGTGGGTCCAACTTTCTGGTACCACACTTGTGTACTCTCCACATGCCGATACCTGTATCTGAAGCTGGCCAGTTGACTTGAAATGGCTCTCAGTTCTTCAAGCAGGAAGTTACCTACATTTGCATAATCCACAGATGTTTAATGTTCTTCATCTAAAGGGAGAAAGTGATCTGAGAATTTTTGGAGGGAAAAAGCTGTCTTAAACTCCCTGCAGGAAGCTGCGTGGCCAGTCTGTGGCCACCTCCATCAGTAAGGAGTAAAAAGGCATGAGAGAAGGAGCTAGAGGGAACTTCCAAGTCTGATAACATGGGAAATCTGCTGTTAGTCCCAGGAATATTACGTTGGGGGATTTTTTTTTTTTTTTTTTTTTTGCAACACTGTGTTGCCAAAGCCTTTGTGAGTTTAGGTTCCAAATGCACACAATGCAATTTAATGTGTAGTAGCTTTGAATTTCCTAAACGTGTAGTGGAAGCGTTGCCATGTCAGATTGGAGTGCTCTTGCTTTAAACTGCTTAGAACTTTTCTTCAGATGTCCTAACAGTCAGAAATGTGGTCAAAATATAACCCAGCATCCATTGTACATATATAATTCATATAACCCATTCTTATGAAATACAAATAATCAATATTCATATTGTTATAATCTTATAGAAAACATCAGGATAAAACAGACTTCCTCCCAAAAATTCCAGCTTCCCCCTACCACACACTGTTTTTTTCTATTTTGATTCCATCTATTATGTTATATATGGGGAAAAAATCTCATCAGATCCAGAAAGCTTAAGCTGGAGTGGAAGCTGTTAAATAATTCAGCCTGACTTTCCATTTTTTTACAGAAGATTTGTAAAATAAACTATCACCTATTCATCCATGGATTGAGCTTAATTATGTTTGAAGAATGCAAGACTTGTGCATGGATAAATAATATTTCAGAATCATAACTAGCTTTCATTGGAAGTCATACAGGTCGTTTTGAAAGTTTTAGTAATCATAGAAGAGTTTAAATACTTGTGGCCTTGATGAAGTTTTATTTTCTGGAAATGCATAGAAAATAAAAGTGGACTGAAGGAAGTTGGATGATGGAAAGGATACCTAGCTTATGATTATGAACAGAAATTCAGTTGGCCTTTTGTATGATGTCCCATAGCATTGCAACAGGTTAATGCAGCTTGTGCAGCAATCTGACAAGTTAAAAAACAAACAAACAAACAAAAAACAAAACCCCAAAAAAACCAGCCTTGTAAGCACAGACTGCAGTGTCTCTCTCTCTCTCTCTTCATTGCTGCAGTGATGTGAAGTCTCAAGTCCTGTTAGAATGTTTGTACAACTGAAATGTTAGAAGGAGATTTGGGTTGTGAGCCCAAATTCTCGAACTTTTTTATTACTACACTTAAGAAAGAAATTCATTTAAGATAGTGAACGTAGTGAGAATATTGTTCTACAGGCTAAAGCTTAGTGGATTTTTGCCATGACGTTTATGCGATGCCATCTGAAGTGGTGTAAGACTTTAATATATAATGTTCTTCTCTAAAGCATGATCTTCAGTGCTCTGGCTGTGGTCCAGTATACAGCTTTTGGCCTTACAGAAAGTTACAGATTTGGCATTTTTCAAGTCAGCTCCCTGACTCATTACTGCAAGGAAGAACCCACCTTTGCTTGATACACCAGGGGAAGTAGTATCTTCAGAACTGATGTTTAGAAACAAGAACATCAAGAAGATGTTCTTGGGGATTAGGGTGCCTCTTGCAGTGCTTAGCTATATGACTGCGGATCCTAGATGCTGATGGTGTTCAATGGCATCAATAGAGTTAGTTCTTACATAGAATGCAACCTGAAGAGAAGTAAGCTGCTTATAAATATTTATCATAAATCATTAGAGCAATTTGTGTGTGTGTGTTCTGAATGGTGTTAAAGCTTGCAGACCTATTTACACCATAAGTTCACTGATACCTGTATTTGTTTCTCAGTCCTGTGACTTAAGCTGTTTGTGAACCCATCTCACTAGGCAAAGCCCAAATATCTACATTCATCTTGCCTTTATCATTTCCCTGTTCACAAACGTGTGCACAGACACTTACTTATAAAACCTGTGAAGGTACATCTGTTTAAGTCTGCCTCGGGACTTTCTGCACCCCTGCTAAACGTATTCGGCCAGGTTCAGAGCTCACACTCTCCTCTTGGAACAGTGCATTCAGGGAAGGACAGAGGGAGCTCGGCCTGTCAACAGCTTTGCACTGTGACTGTGGGAACTTGTATTACAGAGCAGTTTTATCCCAGTATTTATTCCAGCTTGTCTGAGTCTGCTGTTCACCTTCTTTATTCTCCACGAGAGACATGAAACGGCTAAGGAACTGGAAAATCTAGGCCATCATTTGCAAAAGGTACCTTAAGTGGTAAAATTGATTAGTGATTAAAAGCCATTTTGTCATCATACCCACACAACGTGACCATAAATCAGCCTTGTGATAGTACTGCCCTACTTCTTAAAAATTAGCATGGAAAAAATCTAAGCTCCGTTAAAAAAAAGAAATCTTCAGTGGACACATTGTTGATGTACTGGGTAAGGTATTTGATAACTAGCTTAAAAACTTCCCTGACCTGTACACAGTGTACCCTGCCAGTGCTGATCCTTTCCTTGAGATTAGCTATGTAGTCAGCAAATTTCAGGCTCTGCTGTGCAGGAGTCCTTGCACGATGAAGAAAGATTCAAAGGTAGCTATGAGGCTCAGTTTTGGCTACCTTTCTGATGTAAGCAAGTCCCTTACTGTTTTCAGGATTACAAGGCACTGACATTCAACCTTGCAGCAGGCTTTCTGCTTCATCCATCTCTTAGGCTCTGCCCCCTTCTCCCACAGCTTATCCTCATGGTGCAAAGCTAGTTGCTTTCAAGGAAGGCTCTGTCTGCCCGTGCAGCACAGGGTTTTACAGCAGGGCTGGCATTAATGTACCTAAGACAGCTTAAACAGAAATCCTTCATTCCTCCAAATCATGCACTTTTAAGCAAAACACATGGAATAATGTCCCCCAAACTCTTATGTCTCTCTTAGATGAAACTCTAATGTGTCGGTTTAGCTCTGAGATTTGCCTTTGTGATCTTCATGTTGTGTTAATTGCACTTGCTTGTAGTAAAACCATATGTCTGGCTAAGTGCAACTAAAGTAAAGGATTTAGTTGGCAGGTTGACTTACAGTGGTATTGTGTTTCAGTTTAGAAATCTTGCTGTTGGCCTTATGCAAGCATCTGAACTCAGTAGAAAGGCTCCTAGATGTTTACCAGTAGTTTGGATGAATTTAGAATAATACTTTTTGAAGTCAAGGATTGGCCTTGAACATTCTGAAAAGTGTGAAATTGATGCAGATACCTAATCACATGATGTGCTTTTTGACCTCCCATTTCAGATGCTAACATGTGTTTTCTTGTTACTGTTTAAAGGTCAAATGGCTGGTGATCACACACGACTGGAATTCCACAACATAGAAACAGGAATAATAACAGAACGGCGCTACCTGTCTTCTGTGCCTTCTAATTTCATTGGGCATCTACAGAGTCTTACATTTAATGGCATGGCGTACATTGACTTATGTAAAAACGGAGACATCGATTATTGTGAGCTAAATGCAAGATTTGGGTTCAGGAACATCATAGCAGACCCTGTAACCTTTAAAACAAAAGCAAGTTATATTGCGTTGGCCACGCTACAAGCATATACATCTATGCACCTTTTTTTCCAGTTCAAAACAACCTCTCTGGATGGATTGATACTTTATAACAGTGGCGATGGAAATGATTTCATTGTGGTTGAATTAGTAAAAGGGTATGTATGGATTAGCATAATGGCAAAAAGGGTCTATTCAAAATGTATATACAGGAGAAACACAAGGGAAAGTTTAGAATACAAAATTTTATCTGACTGGACATATATGATTGATGAATGTTTCTTCATGTTAAACGTCATATGCTTTATTGTGACTCTTTCTTTCAGATGAAGCTAGATACCTGAAAAATATGAAAGTAAATAATAGGTATAGCTTCTACAGTGTTTACCACAAAGAAGTACTAGTTTGTAGCCTTCCTCTTGTTCTCTCTCTATGTATGCATGCATGTGTTGGTACATGGAGTGCTCCTTACTTTCCAGAAGCTTGGAATCTGCATCTCAGCTCATCTAAATGAATGGTGTTTCTCTGAATTAAGGTTGCTTCCCATCTGGCATTCATTGTTGTCTTCTGGTTTTACTGGCACTACTGAGAAGTACAAGGAAATAGGCAGTATTAGACATACAAATTCATGTCCCCTTGCTATGTAAAGAAAAAGGAAACTTTTCCAATTTTTTCTCTTTTCCCAGGTATTTACACTATGTGTTTGACTTGGGAAATGGTGCAAATCTCATCAAAGGAAGTTCTAATAAACCTCTGAATGACAACCAGTGGCATAATGTGATGATATCAAGGGATACCAACAATCTCCACACTGTAAAGATTGACACTAAAATCACAACACAGAGCACAGCAGGAGCCAGAAATTTAGATCTCAAAAGTAAGTACAGTAATTCCTGTATAACCTACAATGGGGGTCATTACAGAATGATAACCTGAATAAATCGTGTACGTAATGTACAGTGTAATTTTGTAATACCGTATGAAATATTTTATTTGATAATAATTAATATGATCACAAGAGATGACATCTTCTTTATGTTAGCCTGATAATGCCTGTTTAGTAGTAGTTCTGCACAGTAAGATACAACTTTAAACGTGTGAAAATGCCACAAGAAAAAAAAGTAGGAAATGGTAAGAACACAGAGTGGCCCATATGTACCAAAAGATAATTGAGGGGCTAAAGAAGCGCTAAAATGTCTATGGAAAAGCTTGACTTTTACATGAACGTAAGTTGTGTAAGTGGCATGCAGAAATCACAGCCCGAGCTTTACAGTATGACTACAAAGGCTTTGCAGAACTGATGATGCCTATGTTAGAGAATTGGGAACGTTTTGACCTGTCCCCCACTGTTCAGTATTCCACATAAAACCTACCTTTTGTTGGGAAAATAAATACAATGCAGTATTTTGATATCGTAAAATATCTTGTAAGTAAAGCGATCTTATGCGACAGTCCTCCAATGAATCAATAATACCTATAGGTTGCCTCTAGATATATCGAACCATAATCATACTCAAGTAAATATGTAATGTGTTGTAATTTCAATTGCAGGGTGGGATAAACTTTGTTTTATAGGTCTAAACCAACATTTTATAGGTGCAGATAGATTCTTAAGATCCATTTTTATAAACCTAACTGGTATATCTGTATATTTTAAAATAAATAATAGTAATCAGTTTTAAGGATGGGCTTCTGAAAAGCTGATTTGCATCTTTTTGAAAGCATGTATAAGTACGCTTTTCAAATGCTACCTACCTAATCAAACATAAGAAAATATGTTCTAGTCATGTGAAAACTTAGTGTGTATTTTAGCATTCTTTATAAAGGTTCTTGGTAGGAAAACCAAAATTTCACAACAGTTAAAGAAAATATAATATTTCAAAAGCCAGGATCTTCAAAGTAGATATTAATATATCCATTGAGAGCTTATTGCTTTCTGGATTTTCTCTTTAACTACCTCTTAGTCACAGATAATGAACTGACCTTAGTAATTACTCTGGATTTTGTGATATTTTACATGTTTGCTTCACTTGAAAGTGCTATTAAGGTTGTAAGAAAGACTGTGAAAACTGTGTCTTGATGTGTCATAATCTTCAATAAGAGGTTCTTTATCAGAAATGCTTGATTTATAAATTAAAGCTTTTTGGATGGCTCGTGCCCATTTGTCAAAACTTATTCGAGATTTGTGCCATATTATTTCTCAGATTTGCATTCTTGTAAATATGATAGACGTTTATTTGAGACAGTGTAATCTCTCAACGTTGTTTTTGTTTCTGTACAGAAAGCATCCACCTTATTCTTTCACATTTTTTGCAATAATGTATGCAAAATATGCATATGTATTTAATCTGATGTGCCCCCCCTCCCCCCGGTATGTTAATTAGACATGAGTAGAAAAATAATCCTGTTAAGAACTGATAACTAAGTTTACACTGTCATTTTATTCTACGTTTTTTCAAACTGACTGTGGTTTGGTATGTTGCTTTACTTAAGACAAGAAACAAAAAGTTTTAACCATGTGCTTAATAAAGGCACTAGAGGGCACTGTTATTTCACGGAATGCACTGCTTAGAGCCTGCACAGAAAGCTCATCAGTGAGGATAACCTATAAAATCCAACATTCCTTTGTTTTCTTCACTTTGAAAATTTTGCTTTTGCTTTACCCTTTTGAAGTAAAACTGGATCCATAGCTGGTGCATTTTCTAACCTTGAATTTCATTGAAAAAAAACTACAGAGCATGAAAAATCACATTGAGATTTGAAGCGAGGAAGGTGAATTGTCATAAATGCTGATTTTCTGTAATTCACCACCCAGGAAATGTGGCTGGTAAAAGAATAACAAGCCTGATATATTCAATACACTAATATATAGTAAGCATCTTTCTCAAACTCTGTCTTCTCATAGTAGTATGTTTCATTTTATTTTTTTTAATGTATTTATTATATTTTGCTCAGTCAGGTTCCCTTAAATATGGCACACCATATATCATGAGAAATTTTGGTGGGGTTTTGAGGGATTTCAAGCTGATACATTTTAGCCAGCAGGCTAAAAAGGAGAAAAATTTGTCTTTCATTGTTGCTTTCTCTTCCTCTGTATTCAGTTGAAACTCTTTTCTGTAGCTTGTTCTTTTCTATTTTATGTCAATGTTTCTTATGATAACGCATCTCTGTTATGCTGTAAACACTCCATACACTTTACTGATACAAGCAGCTATGGTTAATTCATTGTTCTGTATTATTTCAGCCTTAGCAACAAAGTAAATTCAAAATTATATTTCCTGCTAGTTATATCAATAATTCTGTTTAACCAGAGTTAGCATTAGGTGAAACATAAATGTGTACAGATAATATGGAATCTGCAGCCTTTCTGAGTAATTGTTAACTTACCAGATTTCAGATGCTGAAATCCAGGCTAATCCTGGAAAGATAAATCACGTATATGCATTTTTTTTGCAAATATATAGTGAATTCGGTATGAAGATATGACACAGATTGTCTTGTAGAGCCCGCACAGCATGCTAGTTGTCTGGGAATGCAGACAGTTGCTATAAAGTATGGGAGAGAATTTCCACTATACATTTCCTTTTGGGTGCAGGATTTGGCTATATAACATAGAAACTTAGTTATTACAGACATGGGTTACCTGCATGACCTTTGGTACAATTTCAGTGGATTTGGAGTGGGTATCTGTGGAAACACTTAATTATTGCTTTAATTAGATGAGTAAATTATAAATTGGAGACAAATGAATGAGTGAAAATAGTTCTGTACTTGGATTCCAAGAACTGTATTATTTTTCCTAGCAGAGAAAATTAGGAAAGTATAGTTGGGTGCAGTTCTAGCAGATAACTTGTGAAGGTAAGTGAGTCTTAACAGCAAGGCAATGCAGCTGAAGCCTGCCAACAGTCAGCTACACAGAAAATTTCCTTTCATGTATTTCGTGAGCAGATTCCCTGTTCTGCTTACAATATAGCTCAGATGGTTAGCATGGCTACAATTCAAGGCCTTTAGAGACCAAAATAGTTGGGTAGAGGGGAATTCCTGCTTACTGTACTTGATGCTGTGCTGTTACGGTCTGAGGGGTCTGAGTAGCCTCAAAGGGGCGCAAAAATACAAGTGAAAGTGGAATTTGACTCGTTCCTCACTGTTGCCAAAGAAAAGATGTCTCCTTTGTTCAGGTTGTAGGTATCACAACACCTGTAATGTCTCTTTCCTCTCCCTATTTTCTTCCTGTGGTGTAGGAAATTGGAGTTTTCTGACAGAAATTTTATTTTAATAAATATTTGAAGATGCATGATCTGCTTTCAGGGAGGAACAACATCATCAAGCATGACTTCCTATCCACTTGCCTACTAGGGTTTAATCTTCCTTTTGCTTCTCTCCTGCATATATAGGCACTGTTTTAATCCCCAAAGTTTTCACCTGCTTTCTTTAAACAGCCAACATACAAAACCCTACAAAAATCCACTCAGAATTCTCTTAGAATATCTGTCAGAAAATGAAAAGCTGAGGAATTCTGCTGTTATTTTAGATTTAACAATAAGTAGCTAGAAATTTTTCTAGGAGTTAGTAGTTTCAGTGTACTCCAGTATCCAATCCTATTCCAAACTTTCTAGCTATGCTGTATCCTCCAGGATAAACTGTAGCCAACCTAATTTTGATATTGGACTAACTATATTTTCTTTTTAAACAGAAATCACCATCACAAAAAAAAAAATCCTACCCAAGTCAACGTTTATGGTTTAATTTTTGCTGCCTGTGTGTCATTACATGCATTTTTAAGACCTGCTTTTTTGAATTGACATCCATACTTTCAACTTGTCTCACTGTTATCCTCTTCCACATGGCCTTCCCAAATATCAATTTTAGAGTCCATTGTAAGCCATATGTTATTCCTGTGTTGTTATTTCACTGCATCCTTAAAAATGCTGTTCATATTAGAGCATATGTCAGAATCAACTTCCTTGGATTTAAAAATCCTGTCTAGATCTCTTATTGTCTGTTTTACTTTTATTTCTCTAGCTCTTCAGTGGCCTCTGGCTTCCTCTATTCCTTTGTGAGATATGGCTGCTATGCTATATACACTTGTTTTTTCATTTGCCATTTTCTCCAACAATGTGAAAACAGCCTAGTCTGAAGCATCTGAAAGAAAAGTAATCATATTAATTTCTGGTATCACCTCAGTGGTTTTACCAGTGCACCGAAATATATACTTCTGCTGTGTACATAAAGATTCACTTGGCAATTAGTTCATCCTTGTAAACTTTTCATGCAATTAACTAAATTACCAGTAGATTTACTAGCCTGGCATATTCATTGATGATTCGTAATAGTCTCTTAATCTATTGATATTTCATTTGCCTGTCAAAGTAGGTTATTCATGCTGTGCAAAACTGAGCTAAATTAATCTTGATCATAAAGAAGATTTCTTGTTCCGGCAATGGAAATTGAAATTGTTTCAATTTTGTATCATATTTGTCCCTGTTGTTTTATATTGAGCCCATTATTATTGTTGCTACATTATATGTTCTCTATATTACAAAGTCTCTATCAATGGCAGTGATCCTTCATATTTCTATTACTAAGACACAAAGCTTTAAGAAGCACAGAAAAGTATTTTATATGAAAATGCAAATTTGCACAAATGAACGAGTATTTAATGCTTAAATTTCTCAAATAAACATGAATAAGCTAATTATAATGACCTTGCCAGTGGGCTGTGAACTCTTCATGCAGAAATAATGTTCTGTTCCAAATGTAGAGTTCCAAATACTGTCAACAGCAAATAGATCTTCCTAATGTGACCTGTTGGAGTAGACAATGGCAAATGCAGATGTTGTCTTCCTGATAGTGTTGGGAAGGCAGCTTCTGTATAGA